AAATAATTTTTATTCTAAAAAAGAAAGAAATTAAACCCATTAATCTGAATTATTATTATTAGAAGAGATAAGGGATATTCAATTATTTAAAAATACCGAGACTAAATCCCTAATAAAATAGACGAATCGTCTCGATAAGTTTAAAATAGTGAATATTTCCTTTTCCCTTCAAAATTAATTAATTTTAAATGAAATGGAATTTTTTAGTTTTTTCTAGTGGGATATTTATTTATTTTAAAATATCGGAAAAGGACATCTAGTTGTCTTAAGACTGTCCCTTCTTAATATTTTAAAATACATAAATATTGCCCTTAATCCCATTATGTAATCAGTTAAGTTATACTAATGAGGCTTTTAAACAAAAAAATATGATACATTTAAGCACTTGGAGAAAAATAAATTAATACACATATGGATAAGATACCAATTTTAAGGTTATAGATACATATTTTCTAAATATTATATTAAACATAGAACATAATATTTATTCTAAAATATAAAAAATAACATATTAATATCATGCTCTATATACAATATTAAGCATAAAATAAAGTAATATATAATATAAGCAAAATAAATATTTAAAACATAAAACATACTTTAATGATACAAATAAATAATATACATATGAATCACCCATAAAATAGCGACAAAATAATTATAAAGTAACGTGGGTATTATAAACATTAATAAAACGATATTATAGTATGAAACAAAAAAAATCACAATATAATCTCACCATAATCATAATAAAACCCTAAATATATGACTAAAATGGAAGATCACAAATATCAGCAGCTAATTTCGAACAAAAATAATACATCCAATCAAAAGACTAAATTAAAATAATGCAAAACCAAGTATCCAATTCGTAAATAAAAAGAAATGGTGACTATATCGCAAAAAGCGCTAAAACTATGAGGACTTGAGGCTCGATTATCCATAAAAAATGGCTAAAACGATGATCACATTAAATAGAAAGGACCAACAGGGTGATTTAACCTAAAACTAATGATTTAAATGCAAAACACGCTAAAGGTCTAGGGACTTTAGCGTGTTTTACCCAAAAAATCTAAAATATCAATACCTCCCCCTTTCCAGAACCATCTCGCCCCGAAAATCTCAACCCTAACTCTTCTCTCTTTCCTCTTCTCTCACCCACGACAGCCTCTCACATAAGAAACCTAAGCCTCACCTCCTTCACCGCCTCGACCACCCTACATGGGTGGCCATTCTAGTCTGACCAAGGCCCCAAGAGGTTGGGAAAACACAAAAACAACCTCTCCACTTCAACTCAACCCTCTCATGCAAGAGCCAAGCCTAAGACCGACCACCGTACATGGTGGTTCTTCGTTTCTCAGTCCACCTACGACTCTACCCTCTCCCCGATGATTCTATACACCGACGCATACCCTAATAATAAGGTAATCTAAACCTTAAATCTCATTTTATTTATTTTATTTTCGAAATAACATAGAACCAAAAGTAAAAACAAAATATTAGAATACCTTCAAGAATTTGATTGTTGAAAAACTGAAAGAAAAAAGATCCCCTCTCTTGTTACATAATTCAGTCTTTATAACATATTTTACATCGGTTTTTTAAAAAAAATAAAAAAATCCCAGATTTACTGTGGTGCTATTGTGTTGATGATGGTATGCTTTTAATGCCCCGTATATTCCGGGGTTTTATTGATATCTCTGACAGATCTGACTGGCGCGACTGTGGCGGTGGCAAGAGGCTTGGGAAATGGCGACGAGGGCTATAGGTATGATATCTCTAGGGTTAGGTTTGTATCCGGGTTTGGGCCTGTACTTGGGTCAACGTGTCTGATTTTTTTGGGCTGGGTTGTTTGGGTTTTAGTTAGGGCCTATTGGGATTGAGTTTTTGAGGTTTGGGTTATAGGATTTAAGATATAAAAAATGGTGTTTACAAATGCCCCTCTTTGCTCATTACTGTGAAACGAGAATGAAGCAAAGATATAAAAACACCATTTTTCATATTGGTCTCTTCTTGTCACATTGCAACATCTTCAATGCAAATGTCAATTCTTCTCTTTCCGTGATAGTTGACCCAATAGTGATGCCGATCCAGCTCCTTATGTAATGGATTTAGATGACAATGTTTGATACATCTCATTATGTGATAAACGAAGTGTTGGTGATGTTCCAACTCCGTATGTGATGGAAACAAGTTAAGGTTGAACAAGTTCTTCTCATTATGAACTTCTTTTCCCTCATCGGATGAGTTATTCTCATTATGAACTCTCCACTGAAATGTTGAGCCCTCAAGTGTGGTGTTGTTGATTCAACTCCATATGCGATTAATCAAGCTAAGGTTGAACAAGTTCTTCTCATTATGAACTTCTTCTCCTTTAGGATGAGTTATTCTCATTATGAACTATGTTGGAAATGTCACTACAAGAAAATTTACCTTTAATGACACACGAACGATGACACACGCTAATTTATGAATTACAAAACATGTGGGACATAAATGTCATGTTTTTTAAAACATGAACGATTTATGACTTATAATAATGTGTGTCATAGTTAATAGTCATAATCCAAAAATTTTGCAAAAACACGGAGTACACTTTTTAATTGTGTGTCATCTTTAGAGTCGTATTCTAATTTCCCTCATTACTTTCATCCTTTCTTGCTTCTTCCCCGCCTAATGTTTTCCACTCCTTTCATTCTCTCCTTTTCTCTCATACTTTTCATCCCGATTCTCTTTTTCTTGTTAGGCCCGAGTTTGAATCCCAACCTCTGCCGTCCATTTCCTCCTCCGATGAACTCGACGATCTTGTCTCTTACACCACGCCACCGTCTCTCCCTCCACCTTGTCCCACATCTCCTCCTTCTCCTCCCCTAAAATTGATTTCCTTTTCTTGACCAACACAGACCTCCATTTCCTCCCCTTTGGAACTGTTTCTTTAGACACGCTAAAACTTCTCTTTACCGACCCCATCATTAACGTGACTCAGCCTCTGCCCGACACCATTTTTGGAGACCGCTTTATCCCAAACGCCAAACACACTTTTCGGGCATCGTTTTCCCCACCTTTGTTTGGTATCTCCTAGCTAACTCATATTTTTGGTTCAGTTTCTTAGAGATTCTTGTTTTGTTTACTTTACTTTATAATAAAGGGAAAAAAGGTTATTTAGGGATGCCCAGTGATTGGGAGGAATCATGGATGAGTCAAATTTACAAACTAATTTATGGACTAAAAATCAAATCTTTAGTTTATAATATTATGAGGTTTATGTAGCTGCTGTAATTTTCAGCTTCTTTTTGCTAGAGGATAGGTGGGTTGACTTAGATAGTTGTTGGTTGTTCATTTATGGAAACCGTTTTTAGTAACTACTAGTTGTTTTCCATGAAAAAATGACCCCTCTTTAAAATAAAACCAGGTTCATATCATGAAATTCCTATTCTTCTTCTTTTTTGAAACTTTTCTGTCGTGTTATTTTATGAAACTAATTTTTTGTGTTCCAAATTATTCCTGTTGGTGTTTCTGATTATATTTGCACTGGAAAATACTGTCAGGTTGATGCTAAGCTGGGTTTTAGTACTTACCATCAACAATGGGAAACTTGTTGAAGATAATAATAAATATAGTTAAAGATGATGGTTCAAAGCAAGTAAAGGTCAGCTTCTAAAAGCTTAATCATAAACTAAGCAATGTAACTCTCTGTTTTTTCCAGTGATAAATGATTAGTTTGTAATTTGAATCCTTTGGGTTTATATTATCCATGATCTAAACATTTTGGAAGATTGTTTCTCCCACTAGAATGGTCTTTTTTTAAAGCTTTTACAACTGGAAGTGTCATTACCCATTATTCATTACCCCCTTCATTGATATCATTTGCTATATGCAATTTATCATTCATTTGTTTCCTTTATTATGGTGACCTTTTAATTGGTCTCATTTGTTCGTCACAGAGATCTTCAGCTTGAACAGAATCCAATGGCTTCAAATGGAGAGAAATGCGTGAACATGGTTGGTGTGGTATTTGTATGTAGTGCATGTAGTGAACATATTATTTAATGTTTGAGCATGATTTTAGTTAATAGTTTAAAATGAACTTTTCATCTTTGAAGTAGTCCATACTGGATTGCTTTGCACCTGTGAGTTAATAGTTTTCCTTATGTAGAATTTAAGTTTAATGTATTATGTAACTTGGTTGTCGGCCATTTCTGTAATTACCATATAATATTTCTTTCCTACATCATTTTCTAGAGGAAATTCTTGAAGCTTATCTTGTAGTTTTAAGAATGTTTATTGTTGTTACTGCAATTTGGAATAAGGAAGTTAATACCTGGAAATTGTTAAAGGTCATTAATCATTTTGATCAATAGGTTTATTCTTTGTGTGCTCAAATCAAATCTCTTCTATTAAGCTCATGGAATTGATTGTATTAGCAAAGTCTAGGTGCTAAAGAAAAATATTATGCGCTTTTCATTAGTTCCATCTGTCTTTAGATATGGTTTTATATCATGCTTTGTTATCATGAATATTTAGCCACTTTTAATGTTATTGGTGCACCTATCATTATTTCCATGTGCCTTATTGTTAATCACTTATATTTATATATCTTTTGAACATGAGAAGTGCAACATCTGAACTTTCATTTGCGCTTTGATGTATAATAATTATATTAAGTATGTTTTATTAGACAATAATTGCAATTTCTGAGTCTTTAATCCTTTTGTAGTACACTCCTGCAATTGATATGTGGAGTATAGGATGAGTATTTGCTGAGATACTTACAGGAAAACCACTTTTTCCTGAAAAAATTATGGTGCACCAATTGGATCTCATGATCGATATGCTTGGCACTCCCCCTCCTGAATCTATATCAAGGGTTATTTATCTTGTTTCTTATATTTCACTTGATTTATTTTCACTTCAACCTGACACTGATTTCAAGCTTTATTACTGAGATTCTAATTGAGAGATTCTAAGTTCATGTCTTTACCTTTTCTTATAAAGTATTTTCCATTTTTTGCAGGTCATTTCGAATGGGAAGTATCTTGATTTATGTCTTCGCATGCTTGTCAGCAATTTCACCCCTCCGCCTCATTTCTTGGATAAACTAAAACTGCCACGCAGTCTTGAGAGGAAGGGCCAAGTTCTTTCTCGGGTACACTTGGCTTTCAAAAAGATACTTGATTATGTCCCTCTTTCTCCCTTGAGATTATTGACCTTAGTTCTGCAAGGAATGCCAACAATTTATCACAAGGACCGAGTAAGTTGAATTTTCTCAGTAGGGAATTTAGATGTCCTTTTATCATCAAATTTTTATGATTTTTTCTGTTCTGGTCGGAGTATATACTGTCTTTAAAAGTCAATGTTGTTATGATTTGTGCGTATTCATTCGATTCCAGTCCCCAAATGGATGACAATATAAGACACCATTCGATTTAGTTTTAGTGAAGTTCTTCAATGCAATTTTCGGAACAATTATATCATGCTTCTGTTGCTTTTGTGCTACAACTGACTGTTTTTATGATTGAAACTTTTTAAGAACATCGAATCTAAAGCTTATCCACTTTTTTGTAGGCGATTGTGATATATGTGGAGAACATGTTAAAATTAGAGAGTGGTGAAATTGGAGAACTCGTTGGAAGCACAATGCTTATGGTTGTGGTGGACCGACTGATAGAACTAGATGTAAGTGAATTGAATTTTCCTTGGAATAAAAAATTGTTGGCTTTGTGTGCCGGTGAGTTTATTGGAGTTTCATATAGGTGGAGATCGGATGGGATGCCATTTTGCAAGATGATTTCAGCAAAGACATATTTGAGATGGAGCTTGAAGATATGGATGACATTGAGGAAAATGATGAGCCTGATGTTGGATAGGTATAGTCAACATGTTTCTGGTTTTTAATATGTACCTTTGCACCTTAATATTGTTCTAAAACTCTAGTAACCAGTTTATGATGTAAAAATGATGGAGTTCATTTTGTAGTTTTGGTTAAGCTGTAAGAGTCTGGCTGGAAACAACATTGCTGAACTGCTAGATAACCTACTGGTTTCAACTTTTGAACATCTTGAATCTTGTGAAAGGGAAGGCCACTTAGCTAAGGTATTTTGTGAAGTTAATATTTCCGTGTCCTCTTCATGCTGAATCCTTCTACCTGATCATCTTTAAGTTTGTTTAATTGTTGTATAGGTATTTGAAACACTTCTCCAGTAATTTCAGATAACAGTTCTGAGTGCCTACAAGTCAAAATTTTCTCAGGTAATACTTAGTTTCTTGAGATTCTTGTTCCTAATTCTTGGTGAACATCTGAGTACTATTTGGATTTTGTTTTGTTTTTTTTTTATTTTCATAATACAAGCAAAAAGATCTCATGACTTGCAAGTAATTCAACTTTTTCTTTACCCTAATGTTTGTAGTTTGTTATATTCTATGCTTGCGCATTAGATCCTGAAAACTGTGGTATGAGATTTGGCACAATGCTTGTAGAATTATTTGTCCAATACTCACAGCCCCAACCAACCAGGTAAATTTTTATTATCTGAAAGCTTTAATGAATATTAGACGTCTTTTGTAGGCATATATTCCTTGAGTTCATGCTTCTTTGCTATAATTTGCACATTTGGAGGAGCATTATGGTAAAGGTGAAAGAAGTACTCCACTTCTAAGACATCATGCTTCTTTCCCTAGGTATGCTTCATAAAATTTTAGGAATCATGTTAGTTCCATAAATTCTCCCCCAAACTTAGTCTGTCTAGTTCATGTGTCATATTTCAATTTGCCTGAATATCGTCTTTACAGAGAGCGAGTTCCTGCTCCCAAGGATGAATGTAGGATGCTATTATTAGAAATTCATCTATGATAACATCTTGTCTATTCATATTGATAAGAATTGTTATCGTAGCGAGTTCTAGTTGATGCAATTTTTACTTTCACTTTCTTGTTAGATGCGAAATGGAGAAAAATGGGATTTTATGATGAATAAGACATATTGAAGCATTGTGAGTCTGATGAATTTAGGAAGCAAAAGAGAATTCATTTTGCCACGAGGATTCATGGTGCCAAAGGTTAAAAAATTAGAGCTATATTGGGGAAGAACATAAGGTTAATTCAGTTATTCATACCATATATTTTTTTATTGAAAGCATAGACATCGTTGATTTTCGCATCATATAGTGCATAATGTTATTATTCGTGGTGATATTGTTGTGAACAAAGTTGGTCCTTTTTATAATGCTATTGATTTGATGACTTTGCATAATGTTATTATGCTTCAAAGAATGCAGATGTAAAATTGGTCATTTTAGTACTCTTTAATAGTTAATTATATACTTCACTTTAAATAAGTATAAATTATATACTTATTTCATATTTTTTACTTAGGTTGGGATGGAAAGGAAGAATACACAGATGATGACATTGATGATATTCACAAATAATGTGTATCTTATGTGAAAACTTTATTATGCTGTGATATTTTGTATCGACATATGATTAATACAATATTTTTTATAACATAATGTGAATATATTGTATGCAAGTGGAATGCTTATATATAATATGATACATATATTTAGTATTATGAGGCATTAAATGTGATTTAGTTTGATTATTTGTCAATCTACAATATATATATATAACACGCAATGTAAGTCATACATGTATGTCATAAATTTATGACACACAAATGTATGTCAAGTAGATTTATGACGGGGGCTTTAATGACGTTCAATGTAAGTAATACATGCGAGTCATAAATTTCTGACACACAAATGTGTGTCATCTTTATTTATGATGGGGCTTCATGACGCTCAATGAACGTCATAAATGCACGTCATAAATGTGTGTCATAAATGCGTGTCATAGATTTATGACACACAATTGCGTGTCATAAAAAAATCATGTCGGTGGCTTCAACGATAGGCATTTGTGTGTCATCTGCACCCATAGATGACGCACAATGCGTGTCATTAAAGGAGTTTTTTCTAGTAGTGGATTCACCTCATTTTGGGGTGAATTTGAAAGGAACATGCTCTTCTCATTACGAACCTTCTCCTTTAAGACGAGTTATTCTCATTATGAACTCTTTTGGAAATATTGGTTCACTCCTTCTGGGGTGCATTTGAAAGGAAAAAGTTCTTCTCATTATGAACTCTTCTGGAAATGTTAGTTCACCTCATTCTGCAGTGGATCATAGTTGTTGTTCAATATCTCTACATTTCTGTCAAAATATTCAAAGCATTTCAATGAATATGAATGGGTGAGCATGCTCCTATTTATAGATGCCTACTGATGTATGCATGATATCGTTTTAATATTGTGAGCTATGTTATCCTGCAAATCTTCAATTCAAATGCGTCATTTGATCTTTCATTTGCGTTCCAAACTTTACTTGGGCTACTTTATACAAGTTCTCATTTTTCTCATTCCCATACAAATCCTTTTCTGCTTCCATTTGAACTGCTCATCTATATTAGGTGGATAATTTCTTGATATGATTATGACTTAGCACACTCCAAAATATCATTGTTTTCAATGTTCTTTTCAACATTTCATCTCTCACACACATTTTCCTTGGCCATGTTTTACCCTACACTCTTCGACTATATACACGAGTATTATGGTCCTGACTTACTTTAGACTATCTGTAGTGGAAATATTAGTTCAAAGTAATACAAAGAAATCTTTTATTTTCTTTTTAATGCCATGTCAATCTACTTACAAGATGTTTATGCGTATGTAGAAAACAAATAGATTTGAGCTTAAAATAACAAACTTCGAGTTTACTGGCAAGGAATTGAATTTACAAAGTGATGGCAATCATATAAATAGTAGTAATTTAGAACTACAACTCAGATGTCCCTATGGACCAATAGCACGAGTGTTCCTGAACCAATCGACTTTATATAATTCAGAGCATTAAATTGAGCTTCTATCTGGAGGACTTCAAGGGTTTCCAAATGTCTGTAGACGTGATTTTCTGACAAAATATCAGACTCTCAAGAGGATTTATCTGTCTGATGCCTAATCTCAAAATTCCTTTGAGTCGCCTTTTCAGGTTTTCAACTCAAAGCCTTCCTTTGGTTTCAAGATGTCCTTTGTGGATTTTCATCTCGAACCCTCGTTTTTCTTTTCATTTTATTTCTTATTTCTTATTTCATTTTCATTTTTTTCATTTTCCATCTTTTTTTCATTTTTCTTTTTCACTTTTTCATTTTTTCTTGTTTAAGCATAGTACTTCTTCATAGAGTCTGAGTTTACCGGATTTCTCAGTTTTTTCCATCAATCTCTACCAAAATCAACTCTCCCCCATAGAAGGCCTTATTGACAACATATGGACCTTCCCAATTAGGCATCCATTTCCCTTAGAAATCTTTATGAATTGGCATGATCTTTTTTAACACCATATCACCCTCTCGAAATTCTCTTGAATGAACCTTCTTAACATGAGCTCTCATCATTCATTTTTGATGCATCTGACCATGATAAATAGCATTTAATCTCTTTTCTTCAATGAGATTCAACTGGTTAAACTGAGCCTGAACCCATTCAGCTTCATCCAACTTCACTCTGTTAAAATTTGAAGTGATGGGATTTCTACTTCCACTAGCAATACTGCCTCTATCCCGTAAACTAAATAGAAAGGTGTTTCCCCTATCGAAGTTCGTACTGTAGTTGATATGCATACAAAGCAAAGGGTAATTTTTTGTGCCAATCTCTGTAAATATCAGTAGTCTTTGTAATGATCCTCTTAATATTTTTATTTGATGCTTCCACTGTTCCATTCATATTTGGACGGTAGGTCACTGAATTAGAATGTTTTATCTTGAACTGTGCACAAAGTTCTACCATCATTTTGTTATTCATATTGGTGGCGTTATCTGTGATGATTCTTTCTAGAAGCCCATACCAACAAATTATCTTCTTTTTTTTATAAATTTGCAAACTATCGATCTCGTGACATTGGCATACGAGGTGGCCTCAACCCACTTAGTGAAGTAATCAATTGCCACAAGTATGAAGTGATATCCATTCAAAGCCTTTGGTGTAATTGCCCCAATGACATCCATGCCCTACATAGAAAACGACCATGGTGCAGTCATCATGTGCAAAGATGACGGAGGTGTATGGATCTTATCTCCATAGATTTGACATTTGTGACATCTTCTTGCGTACTTAACACAATCTAAATGCATAGTGGCCCAACAGTATCCGTATCTCATAATCTTCCTGGCCATAGAAATCCCATTTGCATGCGTTCCAGATATCCCTTCATGTATACTTATTGCTTCTTGGGCATCCACACATCTCATAAAAACTTGATCACTACCCTTTCTGTACAAAACTTCCCCATCCAAGATATATCTAGCAGCCACTCTCCTTATTGTCTTTTTATCAATCTCAGACCCTTGTTGTGGGTAAGTTTGATGCCTGATGTATTGCAAGATGTAATAATACCATGACGACCATCTACCTCTTCTTATAGGCTATAACAGTGTTCCTGGGTTTTATATATTTTCATTTTAATTGGCATCATGTCAGCTTTTCTATTTGCTTGAAACATTGCAGCCAGTGTGGCCAAAGCATCTGTCATTTGATTATCTTCTCCAGAGAGATAATTAAAAGCATCTTTAAATTCTTTTACCAATTCAAGGATCAATCTTTTGTATTCCACTAATTTCAGATCCTTTGTTTCCTAGTCTCCTCGCAATTGGTACACCACTAGTGAGGAATCTCCATATACTTTGAGCATTTTAATTTTTCTTTCCATGGCTGCTCTTAACCCCAGATACAAGCCTCTTATTCTGCCATATTATTGGTGCAAAAGAACTTCAATCTTCTTGTAAAAGGATAATAATCATTTTCTGAGGAAATTCAT